CCCGCTTCCAACCCTCATTCAGCCAGGAGGAGGCAGGAAAAGAGGGAGGGTAAGTTGATTCCTCCCCGCCTCTCCCCACCCCTGCCTGCCTGGGGCCAGGGAGGGCCTTGGCGGGTCTTCCTCGTACTCCCGCCGGCCTTGCAGGTCCACTGCCGGGCCTTATGTCAGGGGGTGTGGCATATGCTAATGAGTTATGCTAATGAGTTCCCCTAGCTCTTTTTCTACGAAATGACCCCTGGGTACTCCAACCCCCTAATCATTTTGGCTGCCCTCCTCTGCACTTTTTCCAGCTCTGCAATGTCAATTTTGAGGTAAGGCAGTCCTGTTAAACATGGCTTCTGCTTGAAATGTTCAATAATTACTATTAGACATGTGCATGTCCTCTCTAAAAAAGTAACAGTGTTCTTTTACACTGTGATCCCAGATTGTTTGTCTGCTTTAATTGACCTCTCCATGACATTTTGTGGTTGTGCCTGCCACTCTGTATCAGAATTCTAAAAGTGCCCACAGGCTCAAAAACGTAAGGGATCCTGCTGTAAGGCGACACTGGACTTCCTGCATTTTTCTCCCTTCTCTTTTTGGTCTGTCCAAACCCCTACTATAGGGACACAAGGAAGATATGGGAGAGAGTAGATTCCCTTTCGAAAGGGATCCAACACAGTCTGAAAATCCATCACGATGATAGAATATTTTATTCTGAAATTACATAAATAGCCCTTAGGGTAGAGGAAGACATACAATTTCATACGCAAACCCTGGGAAATAATACTTGGGCCATGCTGTTGCTGGTGGTATTATATCTATGCTGCAGAAAGATTAGTTTCAGCACACAGAGAAGAAGAAAAGATTGGATTTATACCCCGCCCTTCACTACCCAAAGGAGTCTCAGAGCGGCTTACAAACTCCTTTCCCTTCCCCTCCCCACAACAGACACACTGTGACTGAGAGAGCTCTGACAGAAACTGCTCTTTTTCAAGAACAGCTGTGCCAGAACTATGGCTTGCCCAAGGTCATCTAACCTGGTTCTCCCAGATTAGAGCCCACTACACCAAACTGGAGAAGGCTGCCATTGGGATGCAACAGGTTCTAGGTTCACTTCCTTTGGAGGCCATGGCTCAGTGGTAGAGCATTTGCTTTGTATGCAAAAGATCCCAGGTTCAATTCCAATCTGCTTGGCAGGCATCTTCAATTAAAGGATCTGATAGCAGGTGGCCTCTGCCTGAGACACTAGAGAGCTACTGCCAGTCTGAGTAGACAATGCTAACTTTGATGGGCTAGTGGTCCGATTCAGCACAAAGCAGTTTCATATGTGCCTGGTGTCTCCAGCTAAAAAGATCAGGCAGTGGGACAAGATAAGGACATCCTCTAAGCTCCAGAAGAATCACTGCCAGGCTGGCTATTCGGCTAAATGGCCTGATGCAGTAAGCCAGGTTTTTCATGCTGCTGCAGACACTTCCTGCTAGTTTCTGCACATCCACAAGTTGTCTCTCCAAGGGCACCGTCATCGGTGGTGGTGGGAAATGCCATGAAGTCACAGCTGAGCTGACGGATGGCGACCCCACAGGGTTTTTGAGGCAAGAGATGTTTGAAGGTGTCTTGCCATTGCCTGCTTCTGCATCTGCATCACACTCTGGTATTCCTTGGAGGTCTCCCAGCCAAGTACTAGCCAGGCCCAACCCTGCTTAGCTTCTGAGATCGAACAAGATCAGTCTAGCCCACCCAGATCTTTGCAAACATGAAAAGTCCAGGAAAAAAATTCTTCAGTTAGGACTTGTGCTGACAACCGCAGCCGGGGGTGGGGATTACTTTAAACACTAAGTTTTTTGGGGGGCTGGGCAGGCCATCTCTTTTTAAAACGGAGATTTCAGCTGTTCTGAGAAAGACCACTGGGCCTAATGAGAGATCTAACACTGCAGTTGCCTGCCAGACGCAGCCTGCACAACTTTAAGGCAGCTCCTAACATATAGCAAAGTGTAAAATACTGCCAGCCTAGTTTCCAAGACAAACTTGCATTCACTTGTAAGGCTCCAGGTAGGTTACCATGATAATGCAACAGTGGTTAAGTGTGCAAACTCTAATCTGGGAGAACCGGGTTTGATTCCCCACTCCTCCACTCGCACCTGCTGATGTGACCTTGGGTCAGTCACAAGCTCTGGCACAGCTGTCCTTGAAAAAGAGCAGTTTGTATCAGAGTTCTCTCAGCCCCACCCACCTCACAGGGGGTCTGTTGTGGGGAGGGGAAGGGAAAGGAGTTTGTAAGCCGCTCTGAGACTCCAAGTGAAGGGCGGGGTATAAATCCAATCTCTTCTCTCCTCCTCGGGCTGTCCCGTCCGTTTCAAATAGGGTTGTAAACAAACATCCTCACACATTACAATCCTGTTATTCCTTACAAAAATGCAGTAAGAACTAAACTAAAGGCAAAGTTGGAGCGGAAATATACCTAAAATGGGAGTTTTCAAAGGGATGTGCGTATGGGATCTAGACTGAACACATGAAACTACCTTATACTGAATCAGACCACAGGTCCATCAAAGTCAGTACTGTCTACTCCGTCTGGCAGTTGCTCTTCATGGTTTCACAACATGTTTTCATCAGCGTGATCTCCATGGTCTTTCACAATACCTGCCAGATCTTTTAACTGGAGAGACCAGGATTGAACCTGCGACCTTCTGCATGCCATGCTCTACCAGTGAGCCACAGCTCCTCCAGATTATGGGTATGCAGATACTGCCGGACCTGGTAAATGACCCAGAATTCCAGGTATTGGGTTGGCAATATTCAATACCCCCACCCCCCTCTGTTCCTATTAACACTATCTGGAATCCATTTGGGGAGTCAGGAGGGAGCATGCGACAGTGGGATGGCAGCACACCTGCCCTTTAGACTTAGAGGGGCATTATTCTCAGTAGGGAGGCCAGCTCTAACCCCATAGTATAATGGTCCTTTAAAAGTTAAAGCTCTCCTCAAACCATGGAGTGAGCAGTACCATCTTCAGCTACACTGTTTGATCAGCTGGCTTATGGCAACCCTGTAGGGTTTTCAAGGCAAGAGACTTTCTGAGGTGATTTGCCATTGCCTGCCTCTTTGTCACGCCCCTAGTATTCCTTGGAGGTCTCCCATCCAAATACTAGCCAGGACCAACCCTTTCTTAGCTTCTAAGATCAAGCTATCCAGTTTTCCCAAGACCAATACCTTTCATTTTTTAAATGCTTACATGGAAGCTTGAGAACCTTTTGCAATAATCACATCACTGATTTTAGATGAGTGTATAGATCTATGATGCAATCCTTACCAGTGCCCTGACCAGTCTTCCCTTCTAAGCTGAGTTAGTGTGAGCCAGCTCAGTTTTTTAGCCTCCAGCTCACATTGTCTTAGCTCAGGAAGGATGACTCCAGAGCAAATTTATTTATGCAGTAGCCAAATTGCTGGCTCACAACTTTAATGCCAGTAGCTCACAGAGTAGGTTTTGCTCATAAGACTCCACAGAGGGAGTATTGTTAACACATTTTTTTTAAATCTACAGGTCATTATTCCAGAATTAAAGGCAGGCGGGTACATACATGAAAAAACTTGATCCATTCAGTACTCACAAGCCAGTGGTACCCATTAAGGACATTTAATGCTTCTCTCAAGATGAAGAAATTGTAGTTCTCAAGAGGTTTCCCCTAAATATCAGGCACTCATCATCTTTGCCCAAGAAATGTCATTCAATTCAAAATTTAACAAAGGAATATGCTTACACTAACAAGCTGTTTTGACACCAACCTTTAAAGCTTTCTAGGAAGCACTTCAAAGAACCTCCCATCTTAATTTGCAGTGACAAATTCTACTTGCAAATGTACTGTTTCTTTTCAGTCCCTTCTCCCTAAAGAAATGTAGGGTGTAGCTCATGACCTATCAGTTGAAGACCACTGAGGTAATGGACAAGGAATAGCCTCAGGGATGTCCCTCCCAGAGGCATTCCAACATGTCAGCATTCACACATGAAAGTTTTATTTTATAGGTTGCACACTTCTCCCTTCAATTTCTCTGAATGACATCAGCATAGTACTTTTTCCTTAAAACTTCTAATGCGTACATTCTCTTCCCAACCCATACTTAAATCTATGTTTGTATTCAAGATACGTAGCCATGCTAGTCTGTCTGAACCAGCAGGAAAGAGCAAGAGTTCCCTAGCACCTTAAAGACTAACAAAATTTGTGGAAGGGTAGGAACTTTTTTTGAGTCACTGCTCACTTCAGTGACTCCGGAAAGTTTCTACCCTGCCACAAATTTTGTTAGTCTTTAAGGTGCTACTGAACTCTTGCTTTTATATCTGTATTACCTTGATTCCTTTCCAGTGTTACTAACCAAGACCTACAGACTCCAGTGGAATAGAGGAGCCAATTTAGTTTAATTCCAACAAGCTCATTTATTTCCCAAATTGCATTTCAATAGATCTTACTTCTAATTAAATACTATCAGTATTTAAGGATGTTGTACCCACTGAATGAAAGTGACTGAAATTCAGTGCTAACACAAAAGGAGATTACTCAAAGCTGGTAATTAGTTGCAATTATCTTGCCTCTATGTGAAACTTGTGCATACCTAGTACTTCAGAGCACACAGGGAACTTGGCAGTAAGTATTAAGGTATGAGGATCTTGGGAGTATAGAAAACCTCAGCAGCTGTAAGTAGATACAGCCAAGTGCCGTATGTAAGGGTTGAGATCAGCAGAAACAGTAAAATCAAACATGCACAAGTGTACCACATTTAAAGAGGCATTTCTTTATGAAATATGCACACCCAGCAAACATTGCATAGTTTAAGCAAAATGAGACTGGGATACTTTCCAATCTCCACTTCCTTCATTGCACAGGGCAGATCTTCCATGCCCAGCTTTTTCTACTAGCAGGCTAGCCAATTATAGACCATTTGATTTATTGCTCCATCATACCATACCATTTCAGGGCAAATGAAAAAATTCTCTCCCTGTTGTATTTGAATACACCAACCAAATATTCAATTGCAGTTCTGTTTTTATTCTTTGTACACCTTTTGACGTAAACCAAGTAACATGGTAAATTTAAGGACAAAGGAAGGAGGCACATTTAGGAAGTAATTGCTGAGACAAGCAATACACTACGATCCATCCCCACCTCCCAAAACGCCATCCTATTTCACTCATCATCAAGCTTTAGCCATGCATATTGAATTTCTATTTTCTTCACTGATTTTTGTATAACTGTATGCAATGTATTGCAATAGTCACAACAGTCTGCATTGACTGAGTGCTTTCTCATTTCCTGCTAATTGCCAAGCCACATTACTTCTTTAGCCATCAAAGTAGTAGTATTACCTACTACTTAGAGGTCTAGAACTCAAAATTTATCTTTTAAACACTAGAAATAAAACTTGTCTATGAATTTGGGATCAAAAGAAGTCACCCTGCCTGTACTAATATGAACAATTCGAAAGAAAAACTGTTTGTCAGAATAAGGCTATGTCTACTCAAATGCATGTCTCAAAAAGCACAACAGGACTTGCCTTTGAGTCAACATGTAGCAACTGTTACAGATTCAGTTCTGGAAAGTTCATATGAATGGTATTGGTGGAATATGCAAACAGATGAATATTTGCTCCCTAAAGAAAACCAGACCTTTCTGAACAGGCTGACCATTTCAGTGAGAATGAGGCCTGGCACTGTAATCAGAACAGCCACTTCAATGTAACTTAAATGGTCTAAATTCAAGTATTGCAACTTAAACAGAATGTGTTAAGCTGTTGGCTTGTCAGAAGTCCTTTAACAAAGGGCTTCTTAAATCTATATCAAGTTGGGATAGGTTCTAAGTTAAACAGACCACACTTTTTAAAAAACTGAAATAATTAGTCTTAATTCATAAAGATTCACTTGCTTGGGTATTTTTAATACAACTTTATTATGATCTAAACAAAAAGGAATGGGAATGACAGTAACAAACAAGATTTACCACTCAATACTGTGATGTGACTGCAGCAGTCAGATGTGAAACTCAAATAGGGAGTAAATCGCAGTCCAAAACAGCTAAATATGCAGGTCCAAAATGAAGGAATTTTTTTAACTGCCACATTCACTCCAAAGCCCATTCTCTCTTTCAGCATCCCAATGATTAAAGGACATGTTCTGCTCAGCTAGAATAATAAAGTGGCAAAGACGCTGCACCACTGACATCACAGGACAGTTGCCTATAAAACTAGACTTCTGACGCTGGGCTCCAGCTTCACTCCCTCACAGGTCATCATCCTCATCTGGCAGTGCAGTGGTCTGAGCAATCTGCAAGAGGGAAAGATACATTCAGTGCCATTCTAAATTCTGCATCAACAAACAGCCCCCTTATCCCAGGTTCTTTACAAGAGCATTTACCTGTAGGTCTTGCTCATACTGTGCTGCCAATGCTGGATCCATAACGACCTCTGGTGGTGCAAGAGCAGGCATAGCAACGAATTCCAAGTTGGGGTCTCCAATTAGTTTTCTGGCCAGCCAAAGGAAGGGCTTCTCAAAGTTGTAGTTGCTCTTGGCTGAAATATCGTAGTACTAAAAAGAAAGGGATAGCCAGGTTCATTACTTTTGCTGTAATGTGGAATGTGTCTTGAGACAGAAGTCAAGCATCTGTGACACAAGCTTGTCTCAAATAGGATTTTGTCAAATGCATGTAGTTTTTAGGCAGACTACGCATACACAAGACATAGTGTGTGTGTGGGGGGGAGCCTGTAAATACTGGTCCAAAACACTATGAAGTGTAAAAGATACAGCCCAACATTTCTTTGCAAAGAAATGTCAGGCTGTACCTCTTGCATGGCCTTGACTCCATTGTTTTGCTTTCCTCTGTGCACACTGTAGATCAGCCAATTAGATTCACAAAGCATCAGAATCATGAAACAGAGCTCTACTACACAAAACCATATGACACCATAATGTCTTTGACATTGTAAAGACCTTGAGAAATACTTAATGTTCTGCAATTTTTCTCACAGAGGATAAGTTTTATACCTACTTTCATTGCCAATGAGGCTTTGTATGGTTTCCCTTTAAACTGTTGTATTCCCTGAAGTCAGATTAAGCAATATGCCCGGAAAACGGTTTACCAAATCAAGTTTGATTTATCATCTTTCTTCATTTTCACAAATTAACTTAAAATATGTTGGCCATACAGCCCATGAAAAATAAAGAAGCAGAGTAGTACATAACAGGATACAGTTTTCTGCATTAAGTTGCAAAGAAATGTTTTGCACTCCAAGATTAGAAACCATCTATTGAACACAAGATCCAATTAAGTACTTGAAAAACAAGTGACAGCTCAACCGTCTTTGGCCCTGCTGTTTTATATACAGCCAGTACAAAAGAAAATTGTTTTATTACCTGCAAATTCTTCTTCCTGTGGAAGACAATTGACTTTGCTTTGACTTTCCTGTCTTTGATGTCCACTTTGTTGCCACACAAGACTATAGGGATGTTCTCGCAAACTCGTACCAAATCTCTATGCCAGTTGGGTACATTCTTGTATGTAACTCTTGATGTTACATCGAACATAATGATGGCACACTGAGCTGAAAGATGGAACAAATTAATTAACAGCTATAAAAAAACAGGCAGCTGACTAAACTACAATTATGAGCAACAATACTTCTGCATAAACAGGAATCAGGACACACCAATCAGTGAGATCCTCCATCTTAAACCCACAAAACAATTACATGACACTATTGTCCCAAGACACAAACCTTAAAGAAACACTTCTGAAACACATCGGAAGTGAAGTTTTTATTTTATTTCACTTACCTTGGATATAATAGCCATCTCTGAGACCTCCAAATTTCTCTTGCCCAGCTGTGTCCCATACATTGAATTTAATAGGACCTCTGTTGGTGTGGAATACCAGAGGATGGACTTCAACACCCAGGGTAGCTACAAACAAGATTATGAACAGTTAGAATACTGCATGTAATGGGCATGTGAACACAGTCTGCAAGCCAAGAAAATTTAAACTGGACTATCAAGCAAGTGTGACTAGTATAGCCACAGCTGCTGAACTTTATTTTGTGAAGGACTGGCTTGTGAAACTTCTGGGCTGTTTTGCTAACATGCCTACAAGAGATTTATACAGAGGTGGTATTGGCCTCTTAAAGGTTCCTTTCTATACCCACCATAACATTTCTTCCTATACTGCTGAGTCCCCTGTTCTCTTGGAGACTTGTTTCTTTTACCATTCCTTCTCCCAACAACCAGCCAATAGAAAACAAAAGCTATAGAATATATATTAATATAGATTATGGTCTATTCCCAAGTTTCTAACAAAATATAGACGATGTAATGCTCTAAGCAACTGTGAAATAGGAATTACTACAAAGAAATATACGGATACAACTGCCAGCTGGGTTACTTTAATACTACATTTAAATAAGTTTATTTTTTGTAACAATGCTGAATACATTTAACATACCTACATACTTCTTCTCAAATTCGCCAGTCAAGTGACGTTTTACAAACGTTGTTTTACCAGTACCACCATCACCAACCAGAACAAGCTGTTGAAAGACATTTTCAAGTTATAACTTATGGACAAATGAACCATGAATTTAAGACAAACCAGTTCCAGTACAGGATGACGAACTACATTATGTCCAAATATTACAGCTCAATATATGGATCACTGTTCGTGTCAATTTTCATCTCATCCATTGTTTACTGAGTAATCTTGGACCTGTTCCCCTCTTTTCAAATTTTCAAAGTGTTTTTATGGGTAACAGCTAGGCACACACCTCCCTGAATTCCTTGGAGGAAGGGTCGGATAAAAGTATGATTATGTAGCTTGTTGGAAGTATTTGACAGCACAAGTAGATCCAAGATTCATTAATATGTGCAATTTAGAGGCATGCCTGAAAGGACTAAATATAAGCCCCCATATCTCAAGCTAAAGATGGTCTAAGCTTAGCTGTTACCTGGAAACTCAGATGGTCAGAACACAAATAGAAAAGATACTTTCACAGTAAAAGGGAGAAGTGTCACTATAATAGTTTTATCAACACAGAGCTTTCTCAGAAAGACATTACAGAAAATGTTTTAATTTATTTTCTGAGCAGCTACCTACCAGGTACATTTAGCCCATTCCTTATTCATACCCCAGGTGTAATACAGGGTAAACCTGAGAAGCAACACCCCCTCCCCCGTGCAACGTGTATTTATTTTCTTCAAGTTGTGAACCTGCAGTTTATAAGCAATTGTTTTATTACTTGTTTGACAAATCAAGAAGTTGTCAAAACACTAAAAGCAATTATTAAATTCTTTCTGAAGTCAAGCAAGGAGATGCATTCATATCTACATGCCTGAAAACATCATAGTCGTTATCCTGTCTCTCCCACTTTAATCCTTACTTCACTCTTCAAAGCATTTATCACAGAAAAGCTTAATATAAGTTACCAGGAGGGCATAAAAAGCGAGAAGCTGCTTCTTAGTTACTAGCACCAACTTTCTCACACGAATTTAATCAGGTTCAAGGTTTTGGTTCTGACCTTTAAGGCCCTTAGTGGTCAGGGACCTACAGATCTTCGGGACTGCCTCTCCCTGGATGTCCCTGGCAGCGCTTTATGCTCAGGAAATAAGAACTTCCTGGTGGTCCCAGACCAGAGAGAAGTCCGCTGCTGTCGTGGACCAGGGCTTTTTCAGCCCTGGCCACCACCTGATGGAATGCTCTGCCAGAAGACATCCGTGCCCTGCGGGAGTTGTTACCATTCCACAGGGCATGCAAGGCACAGATGATCCGCCAGGACTTCAGTTAAGGACAGCAACAGAGGTAGCCTTTGGTACTCTCACACAAGTCCCCATCTCTCGTAACCCCTCCTCCCCAGGGAGACTGGGGAGTTGGAATCCTTTCTGCTGTTTTATGTATTGGTATGTATTGGTATTTATTGCGTTGTTTTAATCTATTTTTAATCTGAGATGTACGTTATTTTGTTGTAAGCTGCCCTGAGCCCTACTTGTAGGGAGGAACTGCCTAGTAAATCCAACTTAATAAATAATAAATAAATAAATAAATAAAAGAAAGTTATGCATGCTCACAACCAAATAGGACTGTCAACCAGAAACACTTGAGCATATCTACTCTTTATTACTGAACTTCAACCCAGACACATTTTTAGAATTTTGGCAGACATGAAGCTTATGATTTAACAAAAGCTACCCTCTTGATGATGGAAAGGTACCCTCCAAGAGTAATATTATACCAGAACTAACAGCCTCACCTATCTGCCTTCACCCAAAATATTTTCAACTCAACAGGTTACTCTGTAGCTGAAAGGTTTAACAGCTAAAAACCCTGCAAAATTAAAGAATCTAGTCTATGGATAGATCATTCTCTTACAATACTACAAAGAACAAAAAGGGCAGAAATCTAAGCCTGCAGGTCTACACGTACTTACATGGAAGTTCAGCAAATACACTGAGCCTTTCTTCCAAGTAAGTATAAACAGAATGGGATTTCCTTGAAAGGTTTATTGAAATCAATTAACCATGAAGCTGTATTTTTACATTTTAAAAATATTTTCTGTGCTGCCTTTCACCTGCTGCAGTGCTCCCAAGGCAGCAACCCAAGTGAGTGTTCCTGTGTCTTTGCACACCTCCTCTCATATGAACCTAAGATATACTAACTTCAAACCACAGAGAACACAGCTACTTTGGTGGCTACACAGTACAGAACTACTGTCCTAGAGAGGACTACTGTGCCCATCCAGGTGAGTCTCTGAAAGGATGGTTAAGAAATCAGCAGTGAGCAATAAACAATTCCTAAATTGCTTTTAATCCCTTCTAACTTGGATGGGTGGCTGGTTTTGAAATTGGTTTCGACACACCACTGCTTTTCCTGCTTTGATTGTGCCAATACAAAGGTGTTTTTAAAAATCGTTTTCCAATTGTGAAATGACCAGCCCCAGCACTCCTTAGAGAGGAAAAAAACAAACAAAAAGAAGCTTAAACATTTCTCTTCCTGAGCTGTTTTCAGGCGGGAATGAGTTTAAGGAGCGAGTGGGGGGGGGGGGGGAACCACCCAGAGCATGTTTCCACATACATACGCCTTCCTACTTACCTTAAACTGCACTTGAGGTTCTCCTTGTGGGGCAGCCATGCTGTGTCTAGAAAGTAAGGAGACGCGATAAAGGAAGAACAGCGTGATTAAAATGCTTGGGCCTCCCGTCAGGCAGCACGACAAAGCCGCGTGTCTCACTATCCATCCGGGTCAAAAGCGAAGGGAGGATGCCGTAAATGGCGGCGGCCCAGTTATTTTCCACCACCACTACCCCTCCCATCCACCCCGGATGGCTCAGCAAAATTAGGAAGGGGGGGAAAAAACACCCAGGTTTTTCTTTAAAAAGCGTAAAAAAAAAAAGGAGGGAACCAAGGAAGAGAAACGACCCGAGCCGCGAAAGCCGCCGCCCCTCCCTTCTCGTCCACGCCGCGCCCCGTCCGCACAAACACGCGGCGGCGGCCCCGACAATCGCCCCGAGACCCCGTCGTCGGCGCTTTCCCTTCCTCCCGCCCCCCCACGGCCTTCCAGGAGGCGCGCTCACAGACCACGTACACGCTCCCTCGCCGCGCGGGCCCCCCCGCGCGCAACGCCGCGGCCGCGCGCTCCCAACGGCCTTCTTTTTAACCGCCCAGAAGGAACGCCCCGCGTGCTGGGAGAAGGGGGGGGGGGGGCAGGGAAGCCGCAGGAGAAAAGAGGGAGGGGCGCGGCGGGTGACGCGCTCTTTCTACCCCCACCCCGACCGCGTGAAGCAATAAAGGGGCTTCCCCCCCCCTCTTCTCCTTCTCGTACTTTCTACGCCGCCACAAAGCGCGCGAGGCCGCCCTGGATTCAAAGCGAGGCTGCCCGGAGAAGAGAGAGAGAGTGAGGCGGCCCTTTTCGCCGCCACCTCCTCCTTCCTCTCCCTCCTCCTCCCCCCCGATACCTTTTCTGCCTCTCTTCCCGCAGACTCCCGCCCGCTTCAGCGCGGCCTACCTCCCCGCCAGGACTTCCCTTCCCCCCCCCCTCCGCGCGCTTACCTTCCCGATGATTCTCTGGCTCCCTTTCCCACTTTCTTCCTTCCCCTCAGAGAGAACTGGGCGAAGGAAGATGGCGGAAGCGCGGCGGTTCAAATACCCCGTGGAAGGAGGCAGCGAGAGGAAAGGAGGCGGGCGGGTCACTGGACGACGCAGACGCGGCAGCGCGGGCAAAGACTCCGAGGCGGGCGGCCAGGAAGGAGGAGCCTCCCTCTGTCACATGACCCGGGAAAAGTGGGCGGGCAGGCCGTGGGGAACAAGGGAGCCGCCCACTTTGGGGGGCGGAGAGAGAGGGCGCAGGCGCGCCCAACCACTGCGTGGCCCAACCCTCCTTCCTTTACCGACGAAGTCCTTTGGCGCCCGCGAACCGCTTCGGGGAGGGAAGGGAGGCGCGCTCGCGCTACGGCCGCCCGCTGCTGGTTGATTGGTTGGTTCGATTGTGAGTACCCTTAAGGGGGGCGCGGGAGGGCGCGCTTGCGTTCTTTTGTCCCGTCAGTCGAGCCGCGCGGCTCGTGCGCGGCAGCCAATGAGGGTTCTGGCGGGAAAGGCTCGCCTCCCTTTTCCTGACTCCCACCCCACCCCCGCGTCCAAAATTCGCCTCAGGCAGCCGGCAAAGCTCAACATTAGTCGGGGGGGAGGGAGCCTTTTGCTGTCGCTAGATTTGATTGATATAGTAAAGGTGTTTTTAGCAGGGTTATTTGCTTTATCTCTGGCTATTTATTTACCTGCTTAACAAAGATAGAATCAGACAGCGTTACCTGCTTTCAAAGTGGACATAGGTACCCTTTTAATCCTCTTAATGGAAGTAAAACCATTCTGCCTTCGCTGTCTTAGTAAAAAAAAAAATCATAGTGTTTTAGTGGGGTTTCGCAGGATGGGCTGTGTGTGTGTATACCATGTGGCTACTGCATTATAAGGGTTACCATATTCTGAAAAGCCAAAAAGAGGACAATTCAGGCCCCTGGCCCGGATTTTTTAAGTCAGGGGGCATTTACATTTCTTACGGGGCATTGGCTAATTCAATTAAAGGAATACCTGACTCCTTCCCCACACCTGCTGCTGCTCAGGGGCCCTGGGCTGGATGGAAAATTGTGGGGCCTTGCAAGTAAGTCAGGGGGCCTGTGACGAATCTCTTTTTAAATACCCCTACTATTTAAGCTGCGATAATTGCTACTATCTAGGAATATTCCTAAGAAGTTTGATTCCAGTGGCACCTTTAAGACCAACAAAGTTCGATTCTGGGTATAAGCTTTTGTGTGCATGCACACTGAAGTAGTATTTGAAGAAGTGTACATGGGCTGCGGTCACACAGAGCATTAGCCACCCTACAGAAACCAAAGATAGGCGGATTTTCCAGGCACGATCACAGCGCTACATCTGGGAAGCGTAGAGCTCCCGTGGCGAACCCGAGGCTTCCCGCCGAAGATGCGGGGTAAAAAACTAGTACCTCCGAGGTACTAGTTTCCGGAAACCGCGGGGCAAGGGCGGGCGCCTGATCGCGTTTCCGGTGGTAGGTCGTGGCATCTGGCGCCCGCCCATGTCCCATCGCTAAAAGGTTTTTGTTTCCAAGTCTCCACAAGATGCGCACAAGCACCCAATGGCGCATGCGCACGCACACACTTCATTTAAAAACAACACAGCCCCCTCCTCTTTTCGTACCCCCCCCCTCCTGGCTTGGCCTGCTCGAGAGGAACTGAAGCTGCTCCTGGAGGGGACCGGACGGAGGACACAGTTTGCATTCCTCTGCAGCCCTGGAAGGGATTACACCCGTGGAGCCTTTTGCTGGAGAGTCTGCTTCTTTGCCACGCCACAGGATTATCCTGTGATCGGCATTCGGCACCTCCCACCTAACCACGGGACCTCTACAGGACGTCTGATCGCGCAACCACGGGTTATTTTACTCCGGGGCAAACAGCCACGCTTCCCCCCCGCATTTTCATGCCTGTGTGACCGGGGCCATGCACACATAAAGCTTATACCCAGAATTAAACTTTGTTGGTCTTCAAGGGGCCTGGTGCCAGTGGACTCAAACTTTGTTCTGTTATTTCAGACCAACATGGCTACCCACCTGAATCTAGGAATATTTCTAACCTTCCAACCCAAAAGACATTTTCATCAGTTTTTTTTTAAAAAAAGGACGGACACCAAAAAAGGAGGACATGTCCTCTAAAAAGAGGACATCTGGTAAACCTAGTGTTATAAATAATTTTTTAAAAAATATTTAGACTTCTTGTATGCCTTTCTCACTGAGACTTAAAGGGGATTACACTATATCAGGAGTCCCCAACCTTTTTGAGCCTGCAAGCACCTTTGGAAGTCTGCATACTGTAGCAGGTGCTGCCACAGGAGGTGGCATCAGACAAAAAATGACTTACCGCAGCTTACCTTCAGTCACACAGGGGAATATCCTTGTGCTGTGGTGTCAACTGCTGCCGAAGCCACATTTTAAAAAATCTGCACAGCCAGTCAAATAGCCAGTAGCCAATCAGAAGCCTTGCTGGTCAGAAGTCCCACATGGCCCTGCTTGCTTTCTAAAAACATTTGGTGGGTGCCATGGGGCCCATGGACACCATGTTGGGGATCCCTGCACTGTGTGAATCAGTGCAACCAATAGGAGGTGACCTCTAATAAGCAATGTAACAGGACGGGGCTTGCAGGAATCTGCAATAAAGCTGGAATCTGAACACAGTGTAAGTATTAACTGACAGGTCAAACAAGCAGTAAATCTTATTACATAAGTAGAAGTACAATATATTGAGAACAAGAAAATGCATACAGCAATGGATAACACATGCCATTACAGAGTAGTAGACCCTTCCCCTTCCTTCAAACATCTCCTGAACCATTCTGTTATAATATAGCCCTGTTGCATTGATAAAAATGCTCTGCTGAACAATTCTGTTTTACGTTGTGGGAAAGTATAAGTTGTCCTTTTTACCAACATCGCTGTACTATTTAAAATTTCTTTATAAATCCTCTATTTATAGCCTGAGACTCGGGAGTTACAGAATAAAAACATAATTTATACAGGATAAGACATCCAGTGAACAATGCAATAGGACTGGGATTACAGAATTAGAAGATAACGTGAACAACAAACTGCCTAAGGCATGGTATACTGTAATGTAGTCAGTGGAATTGGAAAGGAAGAAGATAATTCAGTAAAAGCTGGGTAATACCTGGAATAATCATTGCAGTAAACGACAATCCTGTTCCTTTATAAAAGCAACCCCGTGAGCTGTTTCATTATACAACCGTTCTAATCCCTTTATAAAAATGCTTTCCTGAACATTTCTGTTGTGTGCATTCTGTGGAATGATAGGAAATGTGAGAGCCTTCCTGATCTCCTCAGGGGGGCTGTTCTACAAGGTGGGAGCCACCTAGGGTGACAGCTCTGGGTTGGGAAATACCTGGAGATTTTGCAGGGCAGAACCTGAGGAAGGTGGTGTTTGGGGAAGAGACTTCAGTGGAGTATGATGCCATAGAGTCCACCTTCCAAAGCAGCCATTTTCTCCAGGTAAACTGATCTCTGTCACCTGGAGATCAGTTGTAATCCCAGGAGATCTCCAGCCACCACCTGAGAGCTGGTAGCCCTAGAGTCACCACAGAGAATATGAACTGGCAATTGTAATCTTACCATTTGTCGTTTCAGAGGGTAGCCGTATTGGTCTGCAGTGAAAACGGCTGCATTCAAGTCCATTAGTGCCTTAGAGACCAACAAGAGTTTGGGGACGTACGTTTTTGAGAGTCAAAGCTCCCCCCCCAAAAAAAAAATCTTCTTGGTTTCTAAGGCTCTAAAAGGTAAAGGTTCCCTTGCTCGAAAGCCAGTCGAATCCGATTCTAGGGTTGCGGTGCTCATCTCCGTTTCAAAGCCGAAGAGCCAGCGCTGTCCAAAGACCTTTCCGTGGTCATGTGGCCGGCATGACTAAACACCAAGGCACACGGAATGCTGTTACCTTCCCACTTGAAGTGGTACCTATTTATCTACTTGCAATTTCTTGCTTTCGAACTGCTAGGTTGGCAGAAGCTGGAACTAGAGACGGGAGCTCACTCCGTCTTGCGGCAACTCGGGTCTCGAACTGCTGAACTACTGACCTTCCACAGCCTGCAGTTCAGTGTCTTAACCACTTGAGCCACCGCAGCTCCTTTCTAAGGCTCTACTGGACTCAAATTTATCTACCCGTTTGTAGTATGGCACCTTCATAAGGCTTGTATTTATAGCATCACGTATTATATAAATATAGTCGTATGCTATAACTATAGTCCATGAAGTTCTACCATTGCTAAGATTTTGATCTGTTTATCCTTTCTACCACAGAAGCCCTTAGTGTCTCAAACATGCTTTATCTTTTGTGAGTTGTAGATATACTGTTGTGATAAATAAAGTGTTCCCAATAGTGGGCAACAAACAAGAAAGCTTACCAATTTGCGAAAAGCGTGTAGGGGGGGAACAGGTGAAAAATGCTACAAATTATTCTTCTGTTTACCGACAGTGCTATCCTAAACAGAGTTACACCCTTCTAAGTCTATTGGGACTATGATTGGGATGGCACTGATAATATGTTTGAAGTCTGCTGTGTTTTTTTTAATCAAGGGTGTTTTACACTTGACACTCCGCTTACAGATTTTTTTTCTTTGTCTCTTAAAAAACACTAAACAGAAATTCTTTATGTTCTTATACATCTAAAGCAGAGGTCCATCAGTGGCTATTAGCCACAAGGTATATAGATGGAACACTCTGTCTGGGGCAGTGATGCTGTGTATTCTTGGTGCTTGGGGGGCAACAGTGGGAGGGCTTCTGGAGTTCTGGTCTGGCTGGTGGACCTCCTGACGGCACCTGGGTTTTGGCCACTGTGTGACACAGAGCGTTGGACTGGACGGGCCATCAGCCTGATACAACATGGCTTCTCTTATGTTCTCAGCTGAAGCTTCCAACAACTGCTTTTTAAAAAGTCATAGTTAAAATCAAAACAAAGTGACAGAAAACAATAGCACAAGAAATAATCTTCAAGCTAGAATAATAGCCATCACAGAACAAAGCAAGGCATAGAAATTGGGGAAGGGGATTCCTCATAAGGAGGCAGTTGCTGGCAACGTCTTTGGTTATTTGCAGTTATTGCAACTGAATTCTGAGGAAAACAGACAGGAATTGAACCGATCTAACATAAAATGCCATTTTATTTTTATTTTAAATGCCATGTTATTACACCTCTCACAT